TGTTTTGCAGTAGCTCTCATCTAGAAAGCCTTTCCAATAGGAACCACAGGCATCTCGCTCAGCTACATCTTTGCCTTTCTGCTGTATCTTCCGCTTCAGTAATTTTTGGTGTGAGATCTTTTGTTTTCCTGGCAGTATCTATCCTGACGCTATCAGGTGCCAGCTTCCAGAAGGCTCCTCTTTGTATTGTCACACAGGCTTTCTACTGCGTTTAAAAAAACTTGACATCATACTGTGCCTAACTGTGCAGAACAGGATGGCCTTGCAGGTTCAGAGGTGATGGCATGTGTGATGAGTTTTTACATTGCAGATGGTTTCATTGCTGTAATCCTTCCAGTCTTGCCGTTATTGCTGGTTTGGCGTAATACAGCTTCTGCTGTCAACAACCGTTAGTTTCTGCCCAGAAAAATAAATATGCCTCTTGCAAAACTGTCCTTAAACACAGCTGGATAACACCTTGTAACAGCTGCAGTTATCTGCAGCGAGAGTGGTAGAAAATGCCTAATAGCTCAACGTTCAGTGCTGCATGTAATGCCTTAAAAAATTAATACTCCTTTGGGGGTAATGTTTACCATCGGACATGCTGAGCCAGTGTATTTCTGACTGGGGAAACTGCTTAAGCATATACATGATTTTCAGCACCTAGCTAATCCTCTGAACTGGGTCTGTGGCCCTTAGCCCTGCAAGCGTGAAGCGTTTTTCTGAAATGGCCTGGACTAATACGTGAAGACTCTCCTACAGCTTGTCCGTATTGGGGATTTGAATTTCAGTTTCTTAGAAGCAAAACAAGGCAGAGGCCTTAGTGGTTGGGCAGCCCTGTAACAGCCAGAGGTTTTTCATCTCCACCTGCGTGCTCTGAAGCGGGGGATGTGATGTGCTATCTTCAGTCTGCTTTTAGTTGCTGTAGGGATCGCCAGGCGTCCCTACAGAAGGTGGAAGCTCAAAGATGTCAGTGAGGTAGATGCCGATTTTCAGGCTTGTGTAAGCCTCATCGCAACCTTATGCTTGAGAGCCTTCAGCCTAAACAAGGGAAAGCCTAACAAGTCCAAAATGTAAATAATGTTACTGGGAAGAAGCAGTGTATGAGGACACACAAATAAGTTGTTAGCTACTTGGCGGTTCACAGAGTACAGCCTGTGAGTCTCCGCCCGTCCAGCTGTTCTCTTGCACTGCCTTACAGATGTTTATTAATAAATATGTGTTTTGAATCTGGATCACATTTTTCAAAGCAGTTCAGCACATGGGGAGCTGAGTCCTGGAGAAAACCCAGGCCCAGCTGCGGGTGCCAAGCACAAGGGCTTCTCGACTGTCCCCGAGCATGGCGGCTCCGCTACCTACACCTGGATGTTCTTTTTTCTTCTCTTTTTTTCTTTTTTTCGTTTTGGTTTTTTTTTTTTTTTTTCCCAAGGCCTGCCTGTGGCAAACAGGATGTGTGTGTATCTGAGCACCAAATTAGACCCTGCTTGCTGTAAAGGAAACCTTTCCCCACGGAATTTATTTTAAATGTAACCATTAGGAGGGTGGGAGGCAGAAGCAGCAAAGACAGGGTGAACTCTTTGGAGAGATGCAAAGACACAGTTAACTCCTTCGAGAGGAGAGGCCGTGGAAGATTCAGGCACGTGTTAGCAAGTAACTGAGAACAAATGGCAATGGCATGTTGTTCTTTTTTTTTTTTTTTTTTAAAACAGACTTTCTGATTAATTTTGCATATATTTGTTTAAAACTGTATTGATACACCCTCATGCTTATCTGTGTGTACAAATGTGAAGCTATTGTCTCCAACAAATAGCCTGAGCTTTCGTTTGACCCATAGGCCGTAATTCATCCGCAGACACAGCGTAAGTTATATTACAGATATCTTTCAGGGTATCATTGTAAAACTCAAGGTTACTCATTTACTCGCTGTTTCCTGAAGTAGAATTCTCCATCCCATGCACTGCAGCAAAGGAGGTTGTTTGCTCTCCTGTTGCTTGCAGAAGGAGAGGTATTTGTTTTTGCAGTTGCTTTTGGAAGAGGATGATGAGGGAATTTCTGCTTCCTTCCTGCATGTGGATTTTCTTGTACTTTGCAGACTGGCTGCTTTCACTACTGGTAGCCGATGGTTGTTTTGAGTTCTGCCTGGCCTCGAGGGGACATTTAAAATTTGGATGAAGTAGTGGCAATTGCAAATCAGGGTAGCTTTATTTCACATGTTAGCATCTAAATATCTTTAGCTTCTTTAGAAGCGAGTGGGCTGTTCCATATTGATCTCCCGGTTTAATATTAGACTCGCTATTCTGAATCTTAAGCGAATATTAAAGCCACTATTAAGCTGTTACTTGAACTGACAACACCGAACATGTTAGTTTAATAGTGACAGTGGTAGTATCTTGCTGTTGGCTTCTTATCTATATGAAAGGGCTAGGAATAATAAAGTAAAAGCCATGCTAGCAGTGATGGTTTAAACTTCAGATTAGTAACAAAGGTGCTGTTTGCCTTGCTGCTGTGCTCAGTCCCTTCCATCCTGGTGTGGAAGCTAAGCTTTCATGGCTAGCTGTTACGGTGTGGTTTCAAGAGGAAAAGGGCACTCCCTATTTCTCAAACTTTGATCCTAGCGCTCGGTTCAATCCAGGCACTTAGGGTGTGCCAACAAAACGACCTTTGCGAGCTGTAACAGCGGATACAGTGCTACGCTCCGACAATTAGCTGTGCTGTCTGGCAGCTGCAGGAAGAACTGGGCAGACTGGGGGGGACAGGCCGATTTCTTCCATGCTTCAGAGGTGCCCATAACAGAAGTGGGTAGAGGGGAGGCCTGGTTCTGAACGAATTGCTGGCAGTAGTAGCCTGGCTATTGGAGCATGAATTTTTTGAGCCTACCTTCCCTTACTGTTCTGTCTTTCCTTTGTCTTTTTTAACTTTTTTCCTTCTCATCAGGCTAATTTGGGGATTTTATGTTTTGGATCTTAACATCAGTAGATAGGGACAATTTGAAAGATCTTCTGTGTTTGTGAAATTCGTAGAATGTGACCTATAGTATGAACTTTGTCATCTTGTATTTTAAATACATTCCCTGCTTGTATGCACTTACACACCTAGATGTTACAGTGTCAAGTTTTCATGCTGGTGGGTTTTTCGCACTTTTTATCTGGATTGCTCCGGCATGACTGAAAAACGGATGGAGTTAACCTGCAGTCTTTGTGTTCTCTGCAGCACTGTCTATCCAGCTTCAAACAGTTACATCTTTGCAAATTGTCAATGGAAATAGTCTCTGCAGCCCCCAGGTCCCACAGAAGAGATCCAGCTCCCTTTCAGTGAGGGATAAGGTTGAGGTCCAAGGCTGGGGGGCAGGACTGGCACCCAAGCTAGCCAGTGAAGTGCTCGCTACAAGGCAATGCTAGAGGCAAAGGTGTGCAGTCCCCCCCCAAACCCTTCTTTCCCAAGAATAATTCCGCAGCTTTGTTGACTATTTGGTCATTTCTGAGACACCTCGTACTGGGATTGTTACTAGTGGGCTTCCTGAAGTCCACTAGTCTTGGGAACACTATTTACTGTTTTCGTGAATGATCTTGACTCTGCTCTTTGAAACTTTTAATGAGATAAACTTGAATGTGCTTGTCTTTTCTCTTGTCCATGTCTCGCAACAGAAAGATACGACTAGTGTAGAATAACGGGGAATAAAATTGGGTATATGCATTTCCAGTCTATGCGCTTGGGGACTGATGATAAAAGCTACTATGAATTAGGCCTACTTGCAGGAAAGGACCTTGGTGAACCAAAAGGATCTTTTTAAGATGCTGTGGCTAAGAAAGTTTTCAGTGCAGAGGGCCATTTTCCAAGGTCTTGGTGAAACGTTATCAGAAGGTGGTCTGAAACTGTTTGGCTGTGTTCAGGGCGGACTGCTGGCATGACCAGTAAGTGAAGGTCTGACTTTAGGAGAGACTCAGAGGGTTGATTTGTTTAATCTAGCCTACCTGGGCGCTGGCACAGACTCTTGAGTGCTGTCCCTAGTGCATTATGAAATCAGCTCTGGGAAAGAAAAAGCCATTAGAGCTGGAGGATAATGTTGGCAGAAGAATAAATGGGTTTAAGCTGAGAGGAAGCGTTCCTAATGATTTAGAGGAATCGGGCTCCACAGCAGCTTTCCAACCAGATGGTTGGGAGTGCAAGTCTCAGATACTTTCAGGATAGAGGTTGGTAAATTGATAAAAAAGATTATCTGGTATTCACCCTGTGACTGTTAGGAACTGATCAAAAAGGCCCCTGTCCCACTAAGAAATCAGTATTATCATAGAATCATAGAATCATAGAATGTTTAGGGTTGGAAGGGACCACTAGTGGTCATCTAGTCCAACCCCCCTGCAGTGAGCAGGGACACTGCTAACTAGATCAGGTTGCTCAGAGCCCCATCCAACCTGGCCTTGAATGTTCCCAGGGATGGGGCCTCCACTACCTCTCTGGGCAACCTGTTCCAGTGTTTTACCACCCTCATTGTAAAAAATTTCTTCCTTACCTCTAGCCTGAACCTACCCTGTGCTAGTTTAAAACCATTTCCCCTTGTCCTAAGTAGAACAGCTACGTCTTGTAGAAGTTTTCTGAGAATTAAATAGTGGTTCAGGCAGACTGATTGGCCTGCAGTGGGAGATGGGTAGATGTCAGATCACTGTATTTGTGCAGCTCTATGTGACGAAATCCCAGGTCTCTGATCCTGTCTGTGTATCTTTAGGCAATGTCTGATTCTTTTTTCCCTACCTTAAAAGCATTAAGCAGAATGCGGTAGGTTTGTTTGTTCTTTAAGTTCATGATGACAGTCAGAGAAATACATTCATAGATTCCAAGAGGACATGGAGGAGGTCATGTATCATCAAAGAATAAAAATTAAGCCTCCTTTCTCAGTAAATAAGAGAAAGTTGTACAGTGATGCAGCTTTTCCTTCTTTTTTTGAACAAGAAGCGTAGCTTCACTGTATCCAGAAAACAATTATCAAGATGTCACAAGTGGTTTTTTGTCCTTTTTTTTCCTAGTTGGGGAATGGCGGTCAACGTGTACTCTACCTCTATAACCCAAGAGACTATGAGCAGACATGACATCATCGCATGGGTTAATGATATATTAGCTTTAAACTACACAAAAGTCGAACAACTCTGTTCAGGTAAGAAAGCGCGGTATGCTCTGCAAATGTTTATTTTAAAACAACTTTAACAGTCTGATTTGTTGAAAATAGATAACTTTTAACTTTGACATAAAACTTGCTCTGAGAAAAGAGACTAATGAATGTGCAAAGGAAGCATTTCTGCATTCATGTTAACCATGGAAAGATAAGGTGCCTTGAAAAAGCATAACAAATGCAGAGGTGAATGGGACAAACGTAGCAGAAGTTATAGACATAATAAAAAGGTTGACTAAGCAAGAAAAGAATACAGTGATAAGCTTTTGTGTTTTAAAGCTGTTGGGCTGGTATCTTTCCAAATGGAGAGTGGACATAGCTGAAAAAGACAAATAGAGAACCGACTCCCCAGGATGAACAAAATTCTCCAGCACCTTTTCCTTCCTGGTAAGGGTCCTCAAATCCCTGCTGATGTTTGCAGGAAGAGAGCACAAGTGTGACTGCGACGGAAAACATGGGTTTGAGGAAACGAGCCTTCAGCAGCTGTGAGGGCTTTAGAAGTTTGTCAAGAAAATCTGCCTGTTTCTCTTTAAATGTAACTGAACTCTTGTAAGTAAATTTGGTAATGAGCCCTAAAAAAAGGGTAATGGTTTGAATACTTTGGAAACTTTGGTTAATCTGAGTGGCAACTACAAGATACGTGTTAAACAACAGGGTCTGTAACTAGATGATGACTAGAAATGACACAGACAAAGGCTGATGTTTCACTGAGAATACAGACGCCCCTAGGGAGTGATTCTTTCTGATTTCCTACTGTGATTTTTAAATTTAAAAATGTTTGTGTTGGAGGAGATCTAACTTTGATTGCTACTTCCAGACAACTGACATGCTGGGAATATCTTACTTATGAAGACAATGCTTTAAGTACATAGAACTGAAACCACACTACCACATTTCAGCTATTTACTGGTCCAGTTGAAATGCATAAATGTGGTCTTGTATTTCTCTGTTTGAATTTACCTACCATTCTGGGTAAGTTTTCTGTCTCAGAGATGTTCCCTGAAAGGTGCAGAAAATCCTTTGAGGATGATAGCCTCATAGCCTACTCTTCAAAATTTAAAAAACAAATCTCAGCTGCAGAAGCAAGCTTGCAGGCTTGCACAATTACTGTAACATTGAGGTTGAAAAAGTGTGGGTTAAAGTGCGTGTAAGTAACTGATACAAACTAAATAAATAAAGACATAGAACATGGGAAATAATTAGCAGTTATTAAACATGAAATTGAAATGCTGTATTTAGGTGTTGTTTTCTTTACATGTACAGAAGTTAGCCTAAGTATTTTGTTTCAGTGAATTACACGTAAAGAAAATACTCACATGGGGTTCTGTGCACATTTGTGTAAATTTGGATGTAGCTATATATAGATAGGTATATATAGATATGCACATGTATAGATAGATATATATAGATACACACACGCACACACACTTATAAGGAGATAGAAAGATACAAGAAAATGGACATTTTCATCCCAAAATACCCAGCATTTGCTATTGTTTGAAACAGGAAGCATACTAGACAAGTTATTGACTTGTTCCTGCATAGCTATTTATATGCTCATAAATAGTTGAAAGGAAGCTTTTGAAGTGAATTCGCCATCAAGTTAAATGTGTGTGGGCTTACAAAAAAAAAAAAAAAAAATCAAGGACAGAATCCAAAACCCTTTCCCAAAATAGGGGACAGGTGAGCTAAGAAAATTTTGACTATGCAGAATACAGTGAGTTAAAGGTATTTAAGAAGATCAAAAAAAAAATCAAGGACAGAATCCAAAACCCTTTCCCAAAATAGGGGACAGGTGAGCTAAGAAAATTCTGACTATGCAGAATACAGTGAGTTAAAGGTATTTAAGAAGATCAGATTGAGAGACTTTAGCTGGGTGGGGCAGGCAGGAGAAAAGCATGGAAATTGTCACAAACCCACTGTCCCATTTCGTTACACAGCTTCTTATACAACTTATGTGACCTCCAGTGAAGATTTTGGGACACACCACAAGGGAAAAACTGAAAAAGGGTCGTCTCACTAGAGCTCTTACTCTATCCCTTATGAAATTAAATCTTTTCTTCCTTTAGAACTTCCTGGATTGCATTGGTTGCTATCGTTACCTGACGCCTTTACATTCATATCTTAACAGGTCAAAGCTGTAAACTTGAATTTCCTCATTTGGTTTGATAGTCAAGCTTGATACTTACGCATTCTTATTTTTGCATTGATGTTCATTACAATCCCAGAAGGCACTTTAATAGTTCCTTATCTGAAGAAGCATTTTAGCACAGTCCTTCCTGTGGTCTGGAGGACTTTACTCTCTGACCTGATGACTCTAAACTCTGCTAGGTAACTGCAGACACTGGAGCACAGTAGTCTTAGGGACTAGGTCCTTTCCATTTGAGACGGCATAGTCTGTTTCTCACATGAAAGACGTGCATGTGTAGGAATTGAAGATAGATGGATAAGGAGTTTGGGAATTTCTCTGTATTTAATATAGTTTACCATGTAAACTCCAAGTGGTTTATTTAATGTACATATAGTTTATTTAGTGTACTTCTAGTGTAGTTTACAGGATGGAAACTAGGGGAACAGTAGCACAACCAACCAGCGAACTAACAGGCAGAGCACCAGCACGTGTGGTGTGGACCGCAGTTTGAGAACGGCCAATCTAAGTCATTCATTCTGGCGTTCCTTTGGCTGATGTTCCTTGAAGCACTGGCAGCCTTCATGCAGCTTAATGTTAGTTTCCATAAAATACAAGCATTTCTCCAGGACATCAAAGAGAAGGAATATGTGAGAAACTCTTTACAACTATGAAGCATTCACAGCATTAACAGGGAGCTGCAGAGCCCCTGTAACTGAATTTTTATAACCTACTGTAAAATTGTATGGGCATTTTCTTCTTTTTTAGAAAAAAGCGTTAAGGTTTGTCATGCTGTCATATAACTATTCAGTTCAAGTTCGTTTTTATTAATAAGGAGGAACCGAAAGGCCAGGAAAAGCTAAGTGCAAGGTCAAAAAAAGTGGGGAAGAAGGGTGTGTGTGCGCGCTAAGTCTGAATGAAAAGCTCGAAGGCATTACTTCTAGGAGGTGTGAGCTACCTGGATGTGGCCTCCACTCGTGTTCAGCACCTGGCTGTGAGACCTCACGGGTGCCCATGTTTTGCAGCCAACCTGGCAATAATTTTGGCCCTTCTGAGCTTAAGCAAGAAGGAATAATGTGACACTGTCCTTTTCAGTAAAGGCTTTATTCAGAGCATACCTAAAGTTTAGCGTGACAGTTTGTAATAAAGACAGAAGAAGCAATCAATCAGACCTTCTTTTTCTCATTGCTGTGGAGAAGTAGCTTTGATAATACCCATACTGTAGCAATACCAGCCTATTCCCCAGTTGCCAGTTACAGGAACAGAGCTGCTAGGACGAGGAGCAGCAAAGGAAGAGGCTGGCTTAGTCATAAAGTATTTGTATTCTTTGGGAGTCTTAGATGTGTTTTTGTCTCTGCTAAGTAGGCCGAGCAAAGTGCAGTGTCCCCTGAGCTTCCTGAATGCCTGCTGTAGTAGGGAGTGCCAAAAAGGCCAGGTTACGGATGGATGCAGCCCTGGGGAGTCTAAATTTAGTCTGCAGCTCCTCTGGTAATTTAGTTTTGACAACTCCAGGGAGAAAATCTCTCTGAGCATCTCAAAGCAGTAGAATTCTTTTTGCTTCAGGTGAGTGTCATTTTGTCAGTTCTTGGTCTCTGGGTTTTGACTTCCTCCAAATTTGTTAACCTGAATATGAAATTTATAATCCTTGGTTTTAATTGAAGGCATAGCGTGTTGCCTTTAGATGGGCATCAGACTTCAGAAGATTTAATTTGATACATGAATGAAAAATAATAGAGAACAACTGAGTGGTTTTAATGTAGTAGGAGCCCATGCGCAACACCCATAGGCTTGGGGAATAGGAGTTTCAAATGAATTATGACATCAGTTGTTTCTTAGGAGTCATGCTATTTTTGTAATGAATACACAGTGGCTTCTTAAAAAAAAATTCTGACTAAACAGCTTGTAACTGAATTTTCTTTACTAAGGCTGTTTTTCATCTATAGGGAATACCAAGGGAACGTGTTACAGGGCTTTTCATGAGTGTGTGGCAGCTACATGAGAGTATATTCAAAATAAGAGTCAGGCAGAAGGCTATAGAGGGCTTGCATATGAATGAAAAAGAAACAATACAAAGTGGACGAGCTATATAAATTATGAGCAAGGAAGCTAGGAATGGTAAATATATGTAGGAAGGAAAATGCAGCCTGAAGTGAGGTATCATTTCTGGCTTAGCGATAGGTGTGGGATCCTTTGAGGTTAAGGAGAATACAGAATCTTCCCCCCACCCCCATGCATTTGGAAATTCTCAGCAGAATTATAAACTTGCAAATTGTCTGGCCTCCAGTGCATACAGACCTTCTGTCTTTCAGGATTTGTATGCTGGGATCAAGGATTAAATGTGGGGTGGGCTTTTTTCCCCCTTGCTTTTAGTAAATGACCGTATTATAAAGAGAGCATGTGGTTTGGCATTTTCACATTTTAGACTCTGATGCTTTCTCTGCAGATGCCCTGGGTGTTGCCACAGGGAATTTTTTCATGCAGTGACTGCTGTAGCCAGTACCGTATCTCAGTTGGCGTTCCTCCTGTGAAAATACATAGTCCCTTTATAGATGCATTTTGCTGGTACTCCGCCGCCCCAATCTGGGAGGAAGGCAGGCAACGTGACGACGGGGCAGATGTCGTTCTTTGTTTGACTTTGTGTCGCCGCTCCAGCTTGAGGTTTGGGGGAGAGCTCCATCACAGCCTCTGTGGGCTGTTGTCCCTTGCAACCGGTGCTGTGCAGGGAGGAGGGTCATTCCTAGCTTGGGGAAAGGTGTCCGAGGCGTTCCACTTCCAGGGGCTGCGTGCAGGGGCTCTGGGCCATGGGGCTGATCACCAGCCCCTAGGCCTGGCAGCGTTTGTTTGCCAGGAGGCCATC